GGGGGGGGTCCATAGCGAATATTTGTTGGCAACCCCTTTTTAATATCGTATTTCAAAGCAGTACATGCGTCGTTCACAGTTAATTTGTCAAAAGCTTGAGGCAGAAAAAATGGGATGAATAGGTTCTTAAAGAAATTAGTGTAGCAGTTCAGCAAACAATATAGAAGAGACTATCGCAAAAGCACTATTACTAACCCTAATTTCACCCAATAGCATTGAAGGTTGGACGAGATTTGTTGTCACTTGAATCGCCATGGTGCGTATGCAGAATTCAATACCTTTTAAACAACTTTATAAGAAGTATCCGTTTGTGGACTTAAATGCTAGCTTTAGCCACACTCATACACCTAGCTGACGAAGTGATTGAACGACTTATCCACAACTTGATAACCGTTTAACTTTTAAGACTACACTATGGAATGCCGCAGATCCACACACTAATATCCGTCACATCGCATTATATCACATGATTACTTAAAGCCCTGCAACGTATGAGAGTGAACTAATCGCCAAAACCTACATGACCCGAACTCATACTTTGGAATAATTTAATGCCAATTTCCGAATAAATCCTGTTAATTCGATTGCAGCTATCATGCATCACATCACACCTGCGAGTGGAGTTCGGCAAGCCGTAAAACCAACGCCCTATAGAGCCAGCACTAGGCTACGTAAGGGGAGCACGTCAGACCGCTTCATATAGGTTTGCAGCGCCCGGGCTATTACATGTCGATTAATACAAATTAGTCTATGCATAAATTTATTTAAGGGAGCAAATAACTCTTCAATGATGGTATTCATTTCTCAAGCAGGCGTGCTTCAGACTAGTGTGACGTCTCCATCCCTCATCTCACTCTCCGTGAAAGGAGAATAATTTGACTGTATAGCAGGCATTCCTATCCAGGTAAAACCAAAATGGGACCTCGAACTCACCATTCACAGCGTTAAATGTGAGTTCGTGCCTCCCTCCTACAGAACACAATTCGGACAACCAATATGTATTTCATTCAGTGCATTATCGATAGGAAAATCCTTAGCTGATAGAGATCAGGTAATTTGAGGAGATTTTGTAATGATGCTAATAATAAAAAGGAAAGAGTAGGACCAACCATCCTCCGTAACAGTGAAGTCGAATGCTATCGAAAAAGCTATTCAAAATATATGCTAAGTGGGAATTTTCTTCATTGATGCTTATCTAGGCCACTCCTTATCGTTCTTCACAAACGGACTGAAAGTATCGTGTGCCTGCGGATGATTTAAACCACAAATAGTTCTAAACGATTAGCTCGTAAATATCAGGCTGATTGATAGAGAGTTTTATTAGATGTCACCAGTTCCTGACATGAAGCACGCGAGTGCTTTAGTTTGGCATCTTTTGCACTTTGAAACAAGTACGGAGTCAGTACGTGTCAGAGCACATTTATGCAGTGTGCGTTTATGGGATAAGAGAAGATGAGACCGTTGCGTGTTGTGCGCTGTTTGCGAGTAAATCCAAGTTAAACACTGAAAAGATCATAAATGTACGACCCCAATGCCAAACCCTGCGTGCTAGGAAGGCACGCGTTTGTGTTGCCGAGACTAACCGACTCCTCCACCATGTATTGCCTTGTTAATGGGTTTGTGCCAGTTACTATTCTGCATTTATAAGGAAGTGAAATAGGGACCTACACACCCAAGTTTTGAGAGTTTCTTCTGTTTTGTAGAAGTGCCGACTGGAGCAAACATAAATAAAAAGCCCGTAAATTAAAAGACTGGATGATTTCACCGCTAAGGAGCCATAAATCGTGGATTTGTTTGCATCTTTACCTCTCCACATCGTTGAACTGAAAACCTGCGTTATGCCATATTGTAAGATTTCATGTAATGAATCACTTGCAATTAAAGGTGCGACGGTTCTACTCAATAATGTAACTCTATTTATGTGACCACCTGCATGTCTGACACTTGGGCATCTGTCTTGCTCTTGTGCACGTGGGCTAGCCCTCGTGGCAATTCAAAGCCCAATCTCTATCCTTTTTTCCTCAATTACACCTATTCACGCCTACTTAGTGCCTTCTTGCACCTAGTGGGAAGTCTAGGAGTACTACAAGGCAGCAAAACTACTTGTCGCCTATTGAAACTTATGTACGATTCTCAGTTAAGCTTACCATTATATTGTCGCAATAAGCCGCGCTAGATTAGCTAACCTGTAGGACCTCCATCCGTTGAAGAACTGTGGAGAATTTAGAATAAAATTATCGAGCTTTTTTATTTTGTCATCCTTACGTGAGTTGGCGATGGAATGAGGGCCTTATTGTTGAACCAAAATTACTCATCATTGAAAACTGAATAACTACTGAACTTATTTACGGGAAGAAGCGGAAGGAGAGGTGAAACCCAAATGTTCACTTTCAGGCAAAGCAACTGCATGAAGAATGAATGACCGAAGATAGTATTTACTTTCCAGGCAATTCAAATCACTCCATATGCGGATATGACGTGTTTGGATTGTGAATCTAATTATACGCCTAAGCATTTGACTTCCCTCCCCTTAATCAGCCAGGATTTGTGACCGAATAATACTAATGAATAAATTAAGCCACATTTTATGACCATTTTGGGTGCCTTGTAGACCTTTGATTGGTAATGCATTATATCTATCCAGGTAAAGTCAAGCGTTCAGTGTTGGTTGAGAAGGAAACCAAGGCCCAAGAGAAACTCTCACTTGGGCAGGAAAACCGACAGCCTTTCAACCCTATTTGCCACATATTTGTAGTACTCCGTTGTTACTACCAAGGATGGAAAATCGTATAAAGGAAGCTAGAATTGGGATCAAGCAACGACGACCAAAGTCACCTTGACTTATCGTTGGAAAAGCAGCACTCCCATGAGGAGAAAGCAACTCATCCAGAACATCCCTATCAGAAGTGATTATGGTTAACATCCTATGTCACGACTGATGCGAACTACAAGCTTTTAAGCGGCACTACTTCATAAGCTGATGCTCTTTGTAGTCCCCGCAGAGATGGAGACTACCACTGACATGGTAGCGGTGTTTCACTCCTTAGTGTCAAGAAACTAGGCATGATGCCCGGTGATCCGACACTAGACAGGTGAGTACCGTTAGCCTAGAAACCCCTTTCGCTGCGTTTAAGATTTCCCCTCGACTCGAAGATTATTCATATTTGTCATTTTATCATTTTCAAGCTACTGCTGCAAGATTTTCTTGGGACCGGCGAAATAAGAGAAATTAAGAGAGGAAGTAGCCAATGTAGATATTTTTGCATTGGATAATCTGCTTTATTCGGTAAAAATTCCATGTATGTCGGAACGTCTACTCACGGTTTAGAATGACGGTCCACACCCAAATGCTGGAGGAAGCTGCCAATTAACCGCGAGCTGATGGACAGACACAAACATAGATGACTGTATCTCGTTTATGCGCACACAGATAATGCAGTCACATACACTAGCTAAGTACGAACTAAAAGAACGCAAAAATTGTATACTCTTCTCTAACAGACAGTGGCCTTGCTTTATTTCTGTCAAAAAGATAGCAAATCAAACAGTGCTATCCCAGGACCCATGCAGAAAGGCGCACGGAATCTTTACTGCACTAATGAATCGACCAAAGTAATCGGATAAAAAGCAGCGCAGTTAATGACCGCTGAGACCTACTATTGATTGAAACTATAGGCGTTAATTGGCTCAAAGAAATGATTGGTTGGCTACCACGTCTGAGTAAAGGAGTCGACGAGGTCCTGTATTGACGAGCCATATTCGTCAATTTTGGTCATTCATCGATACACTTTGTGGAAGATTTGTCAGTCACGTGGTTAAAAGGTATAAAAGTATTCTTATAAATAGATGGACAGTAGACATTAAACCTGTTCCATCAACTATTAGGAAGAGCACCTGACTCAGCAATCTTTGTAGCGCTGCTATGCCAATTTGAATTGAACCAAGTGCCTTTCGCATCACGGCCACTTGCAAGGCAGATTGTAAAACTTGCAACGCCCACCTGTGTGATAACCAGCTTTGTTAACTTCACCTCGGCACTGGTGAAATCAAATGGCATATGCGACCAAATTTCAAGAGTAAAATCATGCGCCACGCCAGATAAAATGAAATGAGATAAACTTACGAGAGTATAACCTCGAATGCACCAGCTACATAGTAGTTGTAAGAGAAGCGAGCCACTCCAACAACCGAGATAACAAACAACAGGACGCTTGGGATTGAAAGCTAGGCAACTCCGAAGCTTACATCTTTTCGATGCGTATTATGGTTCCTTATCGAACTTCAAAGACTCCCATAAGGTTGAAACGCTCATTGCTAACCTTACAGAGAAATTGAGCGCCTAAGATTCCAGCTGATTCGGTGAGATACCGGCTAATATTAGCAGTTCCAAGAGATCCAAATTAAGCAATGACTGAGACACTATTAGGCTGTTTTAAAATTCTGGTCTTGGTTGTGAAGGTCGGTTTTTTTATGTACACAGGTTGTCCAGACTGATCAAAATACAAGATTGGAATAATTTAGTGGCCTGAACCAGTGGCCACGAATAAGTCCCGCAAGTAGAAAATAGGATGTCAGTTTTCTGCTCAAGAGAACGAGGCAGGAATCGTAGTTGATCTGTGTTGAAACCCTCTCTACACAATATATACAGACACGCAGAATTGCGTGCAACCATGCAAGCACAAACCCAATGATGAAAGACTAGGGCGCTGAGTCGTCCTTTTCAAACCTGCAACCGAAAGGCATTATTTCCTGTTCACCGCCGACTTGACGAACCTCTACCCATCCACTTAGCATAGAAGTCGGGATCCATATGGGGCTTTGGAGGCAACTCCTGCAAAAGAGTTCGTCTAGAAGCGGAAGAAGGAGCAGGCACGGATGGAATATATGTGGGTTCGTAAGTGCTATTAATGGCGCCACCACCACTTTGTCTTTCATTGGAGAAGGCAGGACGGGAGGGACTATACGAAGAGGCATTAATCAATGAATTCTTTCGAGGCGAATAAGTCTCCATACTGCCACCACCATCACCATTAATATGAATCCCAGGTCTTTCCCGAAGAGGAGGAACCACCGATCTTCCTCTAGTCCTTTTGTGATCTTGATGGGGATGCCTCTGAAGTATTGAGTCGTCAGTAGCATCACCCTCGTCTCGGTCAAAATTTTTACGCAAGGGTGCTACACTTGAGCAGCGCGAATTGTGATTCCTTGATTGCTTGTCCTCCACCTTGTATTTGCCTCGCATACGTGAAGGCACAGACGTTTTCCCTGATGGCGAAGCCAATTCTCTGTGTTTTCGCTTCCTCTTCTTTGTCACTTCACTCAATTCTGAGCTTACAGTCTCGTCGGATTGGCTGCTCTGTCGGTGTTTTCGGTGCCTAGAACGTTTACTCGCTGCCAGGCCGTGTGGACGAATGGGAAGATCTTCAAATGGGGGCGGTGGAGGAACAGGTGACTTTTGATGTTTGATTTTTTGCTTTGTAGAGTGCTTTGAGATGGGTGGGGGGGCCGGAGGGGGAGCAAGGGGAGATCGCAACTTTTTGATTTTTGGAGTGGAATCAACCGAGGGTTGGTACTGCGGCATTTCAGGACAGACTGCAAGGCACGAGAGAAGTCGTCGATGAAGCTGAAGAACGCTATCGATGTAGACAATGAGAGGCGTCATGTTGGTCGAAGAAGCAGAGGCAACGAAAATGGGAAGCTGGTAGTGTGGTTGCTGCTGTCTAGTCCCCTCACAACCAAAGACAGCAAATCTGTCCGTAGGAAGGATGAGTTCAGACTCTTGTCGGGATCGCATCGATTCACCGGCCAATGAAGTAATTTGAAAGATTTTAACCAAACGCTCCAGTGTCAATCTGGGCACTGTACACATATCTGATCCTGGTAAAATCAGAGAGTAAATGCGACTTAAAATACGCCGATACAAACCCCCAACAAAGCAAATAATGACATTAAGACTACCGGATACCAATCTGCAGCGGCCAAGAGAGAGACGGCTATCGGCTAACTTTTCAAAGCTGTATAACTCTAATTGTACAACCACCTTCCTTACTTTTGCACTGAGTAATTGGACTAAAAAAAGGACAGAAATTGCAGTAATATTGCTGACATTAGCGTACCTTCGGCTAAATTCCGAATTTCAGATCTACATATGGGCACAAAAGTGCATGCAAAAGAAATAATTTGTCTAACTGCATCAAAACAGCAAAGCAAGCGTTTGGATTAGACTACCATAAAAAAGTTGGTAAAAGAAAATCACCATATCCATAAGCCTGATGCACAAAATAAATATTAGAACAGGAACTTAGAAAAGATTTAACTCACTGGATTCGTTGAATCCATCAGGATTGGACAGGATACAAGATCGACAGTCAATTGAACCGTTGCGCGAAGGCGTAGGTGAAGGAGAGGAGCATACAGTCAAAAAATCCTCTTCCGTATTGAGTACTTTCAAGTGCTTCAAAAATGGATCCTCAGCGATCTATGAAAGTAGAGCATCGATCACTGTACAAAAAAAATACGGAGGAGATGGACCATGCGCTGCAGCTTAAATTGCTAACGGAATTAAAATAATTGATAATAACAACCTTGTCTAGCCCTCATTTTAATTACCCATGCATGGGTATTGGAGGTAGAAAAAAAGATTAAAGAAAAATCTACCAAGTGGTTTGACACCTGTACCAATAGCACTCAATCGATATCCTTGAGGGAGTTGAATTGGTGAAACCACTCAAGAGAAAACAAACCTACTTTAACGGCTTTACGGCAGGTTGATCTGACCCATTTGTGGCGTTGTAGACCCAAACAATGGTTCAGGAAGTCCTAATGAACTTAAGCGAGAATCAATAGATCCGTTCTTCAAAAGAATAGAGTAGAATGAGGTGAAAGGAAGGGGTGTTGGTGCAACTGCACATAACAGCGCCTGACGCATCTTCGCGCAAAAACCAGCTCACACACAAGGTTCTGTAAAAGCACCACCTCAACAGATTACATACACAGACAAGCGTGAACAGGGGGAACGAGTAGTAGACAATAGCATCAGCAATGATGACAGAAATCACCAGTTCCAACGCCAATTTACAAACACTAGCGCGGTCGTCACTAAATCGCAAGTGGTGATACACATCCACTCTTACAAAATTTTTCACCACAGGCTCCAATCAAGGTGGCCTCATACATGTTGTCATACATGATTTCAATGCTTTCACGGGAGAAGTCAACGCTACAAAGTAAGTGTGAGAAAGCTCCTGATATCAGCTCACGCTTTTACGTAGTTCCCGTTCCTTGTCAGCAATAAGCTGATGGAACTTGTCACTGACAACGGCTCTAACTCTCGCGAGAGCAGAGTACCAGAGGTCGGACCAGCGTTTGGCATCACCACCGAGTTCTGCGACACCGGTGATAGGTGGATCGACACCACCGCTTCGTTGGATAGCAACCCAAGCACGGCGAAGGAGTTTAGATTCCGCCCGCCGCATACGGGAGGCCGTCTTTGCCAAACTCTCCAGCGCCTGTTCGTAGCGACGCCTAGCATCTAGCTCGGAGGTAGACATGAGTGCTGCGACAAGGAGGTGGCGAGTAGAAGCCAAAATCTTTTCAGGATAGGAAGTAAAGTCAGTTTGGCTAAAGAGGCTGTGAATAAGGCGTTGTGCTTCTGGCGCGCAGGAACAAACGAATGGTCGCATAGAACATCCAGAGCCGGAAGACGACGAAGAAGAAGACGTGGCCGCCACAAACTTCACCAACTTGCTCCAACAAGTTGCAGCTTCGGTGTCCAAGTTGCTTGCTTGAGTCAACTGCTCCTCTTCAGTGCTAGCCTCAAAACTAAACGTGAGGAACTTTTCGACACTAAGAAAGCAGATCAACAATAAAGTTGTCGGAAAGCAAATAGCACTATAAAGAAGAGCTTCATTAACTCCTTTGTGATTAGAAGTGTTCCACGGACTAAATTCATGTCGATTAACTTGTTCCAGCTTGGTATTTGGAGCACTTCCGCATGACCGATGTGACTAGTAAAGAAGCATCCAAATTCGATTACTGTTTGAAGAGGGTGCTGACTAGACCCACCACTAGTTAAACATGCGAACCATGCTGTGCTCTTACATCGATGCTGTGAAACTGACACTGAACCACTGGAAAAAGGGTGCATGGAACCGGACTGCGACCTATCGCATGCCACACCAAGGAGAAAGAGTATTCAACAAAACGTGAACAAACCTTCGAATCACACGCTCCATTGCGGCATCGCTATTTCCAATCACTTTCTTGAGACAGTAATCAGCAGAAGACCCATCCGAGAAACCATTTTCCATGGCACCAGGAAAAAGTGGGTCAGTGTTAGTGGAAACCGATACTCGTTTAAATGTAAAATGAGATGGGCTCGTGTTAGTGAAGGCAGACGTTTGTGCTTGTGGTGTCGTTTGCGCAGCGGAGTTCACCAGCTTCTCCGAATCATACTGAGTGGCAGAAATTGTGGTATGTTTGGGAGTTGTTTCAGTTCCTGTTTCAACGAAGCGAGGAAGTTGGTCGGAAGCAGGAGGAGCTAACAAAACACCAGTTAGATTTCGTGTCACTACGTTGTGCAAATCCGATTTGGTGGTCCGAATACTTCTTAACAAGAAGCGCAAAGAAGCCAACTTGTCCAAATAAGAAGACAAGCGCCTCGAAGAGCCCAAAAGAATGGAAAAAAGACGTGGTCGCAACTCGAGCGTTCCAACAGAAGTTAAAATCCATGAGGAATTATGTGCTGATTTTGGTTCCTCGATGGCTCTTTGCTTCTGTGAATTGAAAGGCTGTTCTGTAACCAAATCCTCTGAGAGAAGCAGCCTCTTTGGAGGCGATGGCTGCGATTCATCAACGGGTAGTCCCAATCCAACAAAGGTTTCAGGCAGTGGAGACACTGCTTTGAGAGAGAACAACCTTGGAAAGTCTAATGCTCTTTTGCCATTATTGAGACACAACGAAATATCACGCGGATCGTCTTTCCCTGATAATTCCTTGCATTCATTGCGAAAATTACCCGGTAAATGTTGAAGAGGTTTACAAAATGCCTCTGCGTCCGCTAGAACCCGTCTCACATACAGTTCAAACGAGTTCACATGTTTTTCCACCGATGGAACATTCTCTTGGTTGCCCAAACGATGAGCCGGTAAAGATGTTAAAGCACCAACTGTGTCTACCGAGTACTGGTAATGACTAGAATCAACAGTGCCTTCACTCACGCGAACAGCTAGAGGGGAGTAGACGCTTGGTTTGGGGGGATGTTCCAATCGAATGGCAGATTCTAAAGTGCGTTTACGAGACTTCGACATGTCCAAATTATCCCCATCACGACTGCAAGCAATTTGCCTGTAAGGAAATTACCAACGGGAAAAATTGTGCGAAGCATCTCAAACTACAAAATCAAAGTGACGAACATTCATGAGTTTCAAATCAAAAAGTATAATCACTTAGAGTAATCGATAATGCATTATGGGACAATGTCACGCTACGGGAGAGACACATGCTTATCAACGGTGTTTTACCTCAAAGGGATCGGCGATGCTGATGCTTTAAACCCACTATTCCCAGATGGGAGAGGTGATATAAGTTGTGGCAAATTTAGAAGCCTCATATCCATGTGGCTGGACAAATTCTGAGCAATGATATTCGGCTTTGATGCAACAGGTGTCAACTTATTTCGAGAGGAGGACCGCCTGTCCTCAACGATGTTTTCCTCATCACTGTCCGAAAGCTGGAGAGTTTCGATGAGTCTAAAGTGAAGAGGATGAAATTCGATCTCAGAACAACTTTGGAAATACAATTTAAAAGCTAACAATACATTAGAAAGGCACAGTCAAATCGTCAGCTTACTCCTTTTGTTGAGCAAGTGTAATCTTATCATCTCTTAAACGAGCTTCATTAGACAGATTGCTGCATAAACGGATATCGATCGAGTTGGGACGACACTCAAGCGATGAATGAGGCACATTATCCCGGCTAAATTCGAAATGGAAAACATCACCAGTCTTACTCATAGCAACCCAACGCCTTGTACCGTACGGACCAGGTGGTTTCCGAAGGGTCCTTCGGACACATGGTAAAAATCGGGTCACGAAACTCTATAAATCATTTACAGATGTAAGACGAAGTACCATTTGCTGAGTGTTTTGGCCAAACCCTGCACCTCAAGTCAGCGCAATCACGATGCGCACCACCACCAAGTGCATCGAGAAAATCTGAGACAGTCATGCCCATCCTTTGCCTTATAATTTTTGAGTCACGATCATCTAAAGAAGACTAAAAAGCTCGTGACCAAGAAAAATCGCACCTCCTCAAGCCATAATTTGGGCTTCTGCCTGGACACAGACATTGATCAATGTACGTCACCCGGTATGTTCAGACAAGGTTAAAAAGATTGACATCAAGTTTGTCTAATGCAAGGAATATAACTATATGTTTAGAAGTCCTTCGAAACAAAAAGTTTGAAAATGGGTCTAAAAGAGTTAACACTCAATACCCACACATTACAAAATGCGAACGTTATTGGAATTACCCTCTCGTTTTTTCAGATGTGGGATATAACAACACAGGGCGCAGCCAGCACAAAGCAATGCTAGGGCGTCTAACGCCAAATGGATTGGGCATTTTATGTAAAAGTTCGTATAGCAAAATAAGAGCAAACTATTGGTATCCCACATATATAAGCACATATATCCAAAATTATCCCTCATTAATTTGTTAAGAAGTGTTATAGTTTGGCACCTGAAGTTGTGCCAGAAATTAATTTAAAGATGATTTGTTCGACTTATTAGATAGTGGTGGTTAACAAATCCTGAAAGTAAGTAGGAACAAAAACTGTGAAGCCTCACCTGATGATGCAGGGGCAAATTGGTCATTAAAGTGTTGAGTCTTAACGTTTGTGGAAAAAATGGAGCAAAATAGCTACAATAATTTTGAGGTTGCTTATAAATTGTACCACTTGAAACTAACAGTTGCATTTTTTGGGTCTTCTTCAGAAGATAATAACTTAATTAGTCATTGTTGAACTTTAACTCAATGAAGGTCGTGATACTCGTCGCTCTATACGCTGATTTGGCTTGGTCCCCAACCTGCGTGATGTGATATTTATTGTTTTCCGAATAAAGCATCTCGTTACAAACTTTTCATTCATTCTAGATTACTTACATCGCTTCTTAGTGCTTAATCTTCTATGGTGGTTACCGAAAGTTTAGGAGCTGTATCAGTTCCCCTTACCGTACTGATAGCCACTAGGCTCTTGTGTCAGAGTTATGGCTTCCCCAATTATCATGGAGTCTGCTCCACCAGGTTAGCGGTAGCCGACTAAGGACGTGGTTCTGATGCACACTAGACCTGATATCCACCTCGAAGACATGGTCCTTGTCTGTGCGTATTTCTGCAGTCGTGGTGGCTCCCGACAGGGGTCAAAACGATCGTTGTTACTCTCTCGGACTCTCACTTTCTGTAGAAAAGTCATAAGCAACTATGGCTATGAACCACCGAGAAAATTTCGTTACACAATTGTCTGCATTGTCTGTGCAGCAGTAGGCGTGAATCATTCAGCGAGCTTCAATTAGCCGTTGATTGCCAATACTTAGTTTCGGGAGGAAACCCCTGACTCTATCCTAAACCCTTCTCGATTACCTTCTTTCCCATCAGGGAGTCTGACTTCCAGGTTTTGTTTGCTGCTTCGGTGCTGTGTGTCTGTGTCGTCAGGGTATTCTTGAGTTTCTGCTTGCCTTCGTGTTTGTATGCATACCACTACCCATCACGCAGCAGTGCACTTTTTGGTAACTGCTGCACCGACTACATTGTTATTCTTATTATTGCAGTCTAGTGACAATGGATTTGAAGGGCGGAATATTGGATCCGGTGTCTAACTTCGATGATGACGTGCCTGTGTCCTTGACATTCAAAGTTCAAACTGCTCAGAGATCGAAATCTGAAAAAGAAGCGAATTCTTTTATTCAGACAACTAGACAAAAGGCCAGAGCAAGGCGAAGAGCTAGGCAGATGGTGGAATACCCAAGACGGTATTCTACTTCTGTGTACTCCATTGAAAAAGCGGTCGAAGGAACCGTCAAGTCCAACGTCGCAGCCATTGAAACTTCCACTTTATTACCTAAGCTGGAATTGAGCAAATCGAAGACCAAAAGGAATTGCATCGCTGATAGCCGTGGCAATGAAGATGAATTTGGGTTGATGGACACGTTTGATTTTCGGAAGTATCTCCCTCAAAATTTTCTAGGTGGAGGCGCTGAAGACATGAACAGTTTCGATGAAAATGATGCATATTTGGGCTTTGAAGAGAAGGAATTAGGCAATGCCATTCTAAAAGGTGGATTTGCTAAAGGTGGGGTTCCTTAATGTGTCATTGAGGTTAATTAATTTGGTTCCAGAAACGATAGCATGGTTTTTATGAAATTATGACATAACTGCTTCCGGGGTTTTATCCCTGTCGTTTATTGTCTGGGGTTTGTTTTGAAGACTACCTCTTTCGCAGCTCTTTCCTTCCATTTCAGATCCGGAAGAAAGTTGTCATGGTACTGAGGAACAAGATGAGAAAATGATACTCAAGAAGAAGCAGAGTGTCATATTGTCCAAAACACCAGGGGTCACGGGTCTCGGCAGCATTATGAAAAAACGCCTACTTGGCAGTCGACACAATCGGAAACAGAACTACGCTACACAAAGGATAGTCATTCTTAGCCAACAGGACACTGCCAGTTTAATCCACCAGCGTGCGGATGCCTTTGTTAATCAACGGCTCTTTGACACGGTGCTGGGCGTGGGGAAGCCATTCAGGACCCCAAGTCGCATGTCTCCACAGGATGTATCCCGAATGGCTGCAAAGCTGAAGGCAAGGAAATTAGCTCGTCAGGGTTTTTGAAGTAACATGCACATACGTAACAGTTTCCCCCTTAAGTCCAAGAGATGCGTGGGAGATGTGCACATCACTTATCACAATTTTGTGGGTTGAATAGTTAACAGCATATACGTGTATATTTCCCCCGTCTCATTGGAGCATTTGGGTCAGTTTGAGGCAGGCCCCTCTCTTTAAATGAAACATTGGATGAATCAACGGAGACTCATCTAGCGTCAAGATCTGGTTTTGCGTGGTCGTTTGTGTGGATTGAGTCCGTTGATGTTTATTGGTTCTTTGATTTCTCCTGTTGGTATCACTTTTTGATCACTTGACCTATTCATTTTATGCATTAAGTTTGTGCAGGCTGCCACTACCATGCAACCCTAGAGGCGAAAGGCAATTGTTATGGGGAGACAAATAATTACAGAGATCGTGGGCATGACTCACATTGGGAATAAAGTGGCATAGCCTTCATTCCAAACAGTACTCTAATTTGTCAACCTCGTTTGAATCATACATTGGTAAGTATCAGTACTCCAATGCATTTCAAGCCCCATCCATAGGTGCTAAGAACGGTTTTACACGTGCAAGATGCATGTGCGCATTCCAGCCGCTGGGTACTTTTCCACACGCAAGATCCTCATCTGCTTACACAGCGTAAAGACGACTAGCGCCATCGCGTAAAACCAGAAATCCAGAATCTTTGTGCCAATGTAAAGCAAAATACACGCTGAGAAGGGGTCGACGAGGCAGGACTGTTATATTTTATTGATACCAAAGTATCACAATATGTAGGCACTGTGAGGTTATTCAACAAGAATAGCGCATTGAGTTTATCAAAGCGAATGGGAGGTTCATACGAAATGAGGAGCTGCTAGTATCCTTTCAGTTTCATCTTGGTCTCAAGCCAGTCTTCAGTAAGGTCTTCGACATCCTGCAGCTCAAATATCTGGAAGAGAGATCGAAGGCCAAGTTAGTGCCCAAGTTTGTTTTAGCATAAAGACGGCGGTTAAGAACTAAAACGTGAAGACATTAGTCCTGGCAACTTATGGACGTGGAGTAGACGGTGCCTTCATAGAGTAGTGGTTTGGTGCCAACGGAGCTATGAACCACCTTTTGATAAAACAGTTACTATGCTGTGAGTCATGAGAACAGCGATTCCCTGGGGCAGGTAAGTCAATAAATCTAAGCTTTAGAAGTTGAGGCCACATAAACGTTGAAAAAAGAAGCGAGCCACTTAGAAGAAGGCGGATTAAAACAATTGAGGACGATTGAGTGGCAAAGCTCACCTTAGTTACCTGACTGGCTTCAATGAAGTGGTGGAGAGATCCGGCATAAAGCATCTTGAGGTTGGACGGACTACCTGAATGCAAAAGCCAGTCATCGAAGAACGCTGAAATGTATCGTCAAAAGAAGACAACAAACGGATGTACTAGAACACTACCAAGCGGTGCGGGACCTACTTATTCATGACTGAGGCATATAGACGAGGACTTCAGTGCTATCATTGGCATACTTTAAAGCAACCTGGTAAGTAGCAAAGAAAAAACACGGTTTCGAGCGACGCAGAACTTCTAATTTTCCTGATTAGAAACTTGTTGCGTGGACTAAGGGGAGAGCAACTCTTAATGAAGAGGGCAGAATGCCAGAGTGCAAATAAAACCTAGTGAGATTTTTACTAAAAGTACATTTACTTTACGATAGTAACGTGTTTTTACATTAAGCACAAAGAAGAAACGAAACATAGGCCGAGCCATCATCAACATACTTCTCGGACTTGAGAAAATAAGACAATACGGGTAAGATACGCGGCCATCATCATGATGAAATTCGTAGCTGACCAGGATATATCGTGGCTCACTCAGACACAGCTCACTAGACAGACCATCCAATTTCAGATCCTAGGAAAGGTGACAGGAACTTCAGCATTACATCTATTTCCTGTTCAATCTCTACTGACCTTGATGTCACGTTGATTTTATCTAGCAAAAGGAATCTATTCAGGCAGTAATTTACTTATGATTGCGCATGACCCCTTAGTTTTTCTGAATTTAAATGACCGGTACGTTGTGATCAGTTCTTCTGAAATTGACGCAAGCGTTGTTTCCTGAAGGATAGTCTTTAGAAACTGTTTACCATTGCGGGTAGTAGCAGTATAGTGCCGACCAGCAAAACAACCTATCACCCTGGGTCTTGCAATCGCAACAGATCTCAGATGACTCTAGAAAGTGGTAATTTGTGGTTTGACACAAGCACATTAAAATGAAGCATCTCTTCGATAGCCAAAATTTTTACGAGTTTAATAAAGGAAGTCAATAATATCTGAATATTATTGATCTCAATTGTATCTTATTTAAGTGTAGATTACAGTCATAGCCTCTCGAGTTTTCGCATCAAATTTAAAGAGACAGTGGGCATTCCAAATCCGTAAATTCGACCAGAAAGAAATTCGATAGGGATTGATAAGGACTGAAGTTGATAGGCAGAGTGGCGGGTTCGCTAAAATGTGCATTGCTGACACGAGAATTCGAAATAACGAGGCAGTAGAAGGATATGCCCCATTGCTTTTCCCAATTAGTAGATATTAAGTAGGCTGAAGCCTTGTATTCTAAAAGATTGTAAGGGTTGCAACGTGGTTTGGCCTGAAGATCAATCGACAAAGCCAGAAAAAAATGAACGTCAGAGTGATCGCCATTAAACAGGCAGTACAAAGACCGAAATAGTGAGACGTAGCTCTAATACTTTGTTTCTGCGATGACAGGCCCATGTACTCGTGAGCTGGCCTTCGGACCATGCCCAGGTTCATTTGTCCTGTCGTCTTCAGAATACACGTATCCGG